ACTCAGACCAGCCCTGACTGCTTTAGAGCTGCTTTGGTTATCCTATAGTGCCCTTCAGCTAATTATAATAATAAAATCCCCGCCTAGTGAAAAACTGCAATGTTATTAACATAACATGAGTTTCATGCCAGTGTATGACGATAGTACTGTGCCACCTGTGATTTGTTTCACTGTGAAGAAGCAAAGATACAATGTAAAAACTTTACATTACTCATTAGGGAAGGATTTAAAGCAACCCCACAGGGTGGGCAGATGTGGATTTTGTATATTAGAAAGTTCCTGTTCAAGAAATTCCTTTACCACACAACAGCAAGAGCCCTTGTAAGTAACCTCTAATAAACTAATCTAACTCATCAAACTGGACTTGACTGGGTCATTCTTTGATCTCTCAGCTCCCTCTCACTTTATGGGTGGTTTTTCTACCCTGTCCTGGGATTTTTCAGGAAACAATTTCTGATTCTGATTTTGTGTCTCAGAGGAAGAGAGAGCAGCCTTTGCCACTTAAGAGTGGCCTCAGAATCTATCTCATCTATGATAGGAATCTAGAGACCTCCTCTGTACTTCCCTGTATGGATGGAGATTGAAGTTAAACATAAGGTCTTTAAGATGAAATTCAAATGCAGATTTCGGATATTGTCAACTTCCAAGAGGAATGTGATATACAGTCAAAAGATCTGGAATTTAGTGTGGTAAGATAACTTGATATCTGAATTATTGAATTAATATTGCTAGAGATTATTTGAGTAAACTTGTATATAGCTATGTTAAGGGAGCACAATCTATGACAACTAGGGGTAGAAGATTCAGTCAATTTTGTGAACAGTATTCCTTTATAGAATACACATATGACCATACTCATAAAAATTTTATCTGGTTACTTTCATGACGGTAATCACTAACTAAGACTTAACACATTCGCTTTTTTCATTTATCAAAAATCTAAATGCAACATAATAAAAGGTATCATACTTAATAAGACTGTGTACATCCAAGGACAATAAAAAACAACACTTCTAAATTGTTCAGTTTGTCTCAGAGATATTGTTATGTATAATGTCATTTCATCTTCAGAATTTTTTTACAAGCAGGTCTTACTATTTCCCTGATTTATATAGGCAGAAACTGGAATCAGACATGAGAAGTACCATGGTCAATGACACGCCAAAATCAATGAATCAGAACTAAATTTTGATTGTGTGACAATTTCCATGACTTCCCAATATAATTCATCAATTTCTGTGATTTCATATGTACTAACATTTATTGATCAGGAAAAATGGTAATAAACAATGATTTAAAAAAACCTTAGTTCAAAAATAGATCAGAGGTATTAATATTAAGTGGAAACATTTAGTAGGTGTTTACTATATGCCAAAGATTATGTAAAAACACTTTAGACACATAATTTCACATATTCCTCAGGCCAACCCATTGAATGAAGTACGGTTTTATTTAATAAAGGAAGATTTTCACTGCAAAAATTAGATTGCTTAATATGTACAAGTCAATGTAGAACTTCAATTCAAGACTACTTCATGTTCTCTGACAAAAGCTTTGTTTCTGTCCTAAGTTTTATTATATATACATTTAAACATTACAATTAAATATACAACATGAATTCAATAAAGTGGTTTATAATATGTATACCCCATACATCTCAAGAAGATTCCAAATTAATGTGCTAAAATTAAGCTGTCAATTTAATAAATTTTTAGATAGCCTAGGATTGTACAACAATGATATTTTAAGGGAAATATCACAAATAATACTCTGGTTATCACTAAAATAAATTTCCTAAAATTTTCAAATAAACTGATAATAAATTTGTGATCTTCAAATTTTTCTGATGTGGGCATTTAATGGTTTAAACTTCCCTCTAAGCAGTCCTTTCACTGTATCGCAGAAGTTTTGATACGTTATGTCACTAATTATCTGTTTACTGATGATATAATCTAATACCTAAAAACCCTAAGGAGTCCTACAAATGATTCCTAGATTTGATAAATGAATACAAAAAAGTCCCATGTTACAAAAGCAAAGAACATAAATCAGTAGCATTTCCATATAACAATAACATTGAAGCTAAGAACCAAATCAAAAACTCAATCTTATTTGCAATAGCTTCAAAAAACAAACAAACAAAAAAAGCTAGGAATATATTTAACCAAGGAGGTGAAAGATGACAACATTGATGAAGGAAATCATAGATGACACACACACAAATGGAAAAATATCTCATCCTGGTGGATTGGAAGAATCAATATTATTAAAATGACTGTATTTCCCAAAGCAATCTATAGATTCAATGCAATTCCTCTCAAAACCCCAACATCATTTTTAACAGAACTAGAAAAAATTCCTAAAATTCATATGGAACCAAAAAAGAGCCTGGATAGCCAAAGCAATTCTAAGCAAAAAGGACAAAACTGGAGGCATCATATTACCTGTTTTCAAATAATATTGCAAGGCTATAGGAACCAAAACAGCATGGTACTGGCATAAAAGCAGACACATAGATTAATGAACAGAACAGAGAACCAAGAAATAAAGCCATATTACCTACAATGAATTGATCTTCAACAAAGCAGACAAAAACATACACTGGGAAAAGGACATCCTGTTCAACAAATGGTGCTGGGAACATTGCATAGCCATATGTAGAAAAATGAAACTATATCACTATGTCTCAGCATATATAAAAATTAACTCAGGATGTATTAAAGACTTACTAGTAAGGCCTGAAACCATATAAATTCAAGAATAAAACCTAGGAAAAACTCTTCTGTACATTAGCCTAGACTAAGAATTTATGACTAAGACATCAAAAGCAAATGCAACAGAACAAAAATATACAAATGGCACTTAATTAAACTAAAAAAAGTTTATGCAGAGTAAAAGAAATAATCAACAGAATAAATAAACAACCTACAGCATGGGAGAAAATATTCACAAACTATCCATCTGAAAAAGGACTAATATCCAATATCTACCAGGAACTCAAATAATTCAGCAAGAATAAAAGAAATAATCTCATTAAAAGTGGGCAAAGGACATGAAACAACATTTTTGAAAAGAATATATACAAATGGCCAAAAAACATATTAAAAAATGTTCAACATCACTAATCATCAGAGAAATGCAAATTAAAACCACAATGAGATACTATCTGACTTCAGTCAGAATGCCAATATTAAAGAGTCAAAAAACAATAGATTTTGACATGGATGTGCAGAAAAGGGAACGCTTACGTGCTATTAGTGGGAATATAAATTAGTACAACCCCAATGGAAAATAGTGTGGAGATTTCTAACAGAAATAAAAGTAGATTTACTATTCCATCCAACAGTCCCACTACTGAGTACCTACCTGTAGGAAAAGAAGTCATTATATCAAAAAGACACCTGCATTTGTATCTTTATCACAGCACAATTTACAATAGCAAGGATATGGAATCAATCTAAGTGTCCACAGACTAAGGCATGGATAAAGAAAATATATATACATGGTATATACATTTTATACACACATCATGGGATACTACTCAGCTATAAAATAAGAATGAAATAATGTCTTTAGCAGTGACATGGATGGAACTAGAGGTCATTATCCTAAGTAAAGTAACTCAGTAATGGAAAATTAAATACTATATGTTCTCACTTATAAGTGGGATCTAAACTATTGGTTAGCATCATCATACAGAGTGCAATAATAGATATTTGATAGTCCAAAGGTGGGAGGTTTGGAGGGGAGTGAGGGATGAAAAATTACCTACTGAGTAGAATGTAAACTATTTGGATTATGGGTAAACTAAAAGCCCAGATCACTATACGATGTACCCATATAACAATATGGCATTATTGTCCACTAAATATATTGAAATTTTAAAAAATATAATAATTAAACATTGGAAACTAACTCAGTAAAATAGAGAACAAAATATTTTCCCAAAATAACATTGTGTACTGGAAAACATTTCTAAACAAGTGGATATGGTTATATGTATATATGAAATTTATCTGAAGCATTTTTAAGAGAGGGGAGACAAGATGGCAGACAAGAAAAACTGCCAGCCAGAGTGTCTCTGCAAGAAACAAAGATTTTAGATGAAAGTGAAAAAAACAAACAGGCAGACAAATGTAGATTGGATGAGGGTCAGAAGGAAGGGTGCCTGAAGCTACAGGAGATGCCATAGGAAGAAATTGTGGATCACAACTGGAAGGAGAAAGGCATTGGCAGGGTATAAACCCTGAGAGGTTTGGAGACCAGCAACAAGGGTAGATGGAGTGGTTACATTTCCTCTCCCTTGCATCTCAGACTTCTCATGGGCTCCTGAGCTACTGGAGAGACCTACTAACATGAGACCACAGACAGCTGCCTCCAGTGAGTGGTGAGCCTCTTGCAGACAGGGCACCAGGCTCCCAGCTCCCTCAGGGCAACTCCTACCCCACTGACCTGAGCCAATTGGGAGGCACCATATTGCTTCATTCTCCCCATCCTCTCTGCTACCTGGGGCTGCTGAGATAGACAACTTAGCCACCACACAGAGGCATCCCCAGGGAATGGGACTTTTCCTTTTTGGGTCCTGCAGCATACTCTGGGGTACTGTGACTGTGAGCTCCCTACCCACCAGCCTTCCCAGGTGCTGCGTGCCTGGTGACTCTAGCAGAGCGGAGCAAATTCCGAGGTGGAGAGACATTGATCCAGCATGGGCATCATTGGGGTAACTTGAGACCAGCATTCTTCTTCCTGGCAGGGTCAGGTATTGATCTGGGGCCCAGAGGACTTGCCTACAGGCCAGATCCTATACACCGAGGTCTTGATTGCATTGCCTAGGGGCACAGAAGGGATATTTGTGAACTAGTCTACTGAGGTGTGTGTGCACTCAGGGCATAACAGAGTGGGTCTGAGCTATAGCATGCTTGAGGGACAACCCTCCTCCCATGGGAGGGCTGCACTTCCAGTTTAGGTTGCGATCCTGGGCAGGGAAACTCCTGGCTTACATCACAGCCAGGGGACATCCACTGGCTTGAGGGACTGCCTGTTGGTAGAGGTCCGGGAGAAACTGCGGAATAGGGCAGGTGAAAAGGAGTGGGGCCTATTCCAGACTGCCAGATTGTGGGGCTCAGACAGCCCCACCCCCACACCCAGACTTTTAGGTTGACTGGAGCCCTTTCAGCCCCTTCCTGGCAGGTTTGTCCAGAAGCAGAGGACAGACCTTTGACTCCTGGTAACAGCATTAATGGAGGTTGAGGGCAGGCTCACCCAACTCAGCCCCACCCAGCCTCACTCCTCTACCTACCCCTACTGAGGTGGAGAAAAGGACACACCTGGAAGTCACAGGGCCCCACACTAGAGTGCCTCTCCAAATGAACTAGAGCTGGTTACAGGACCCCAACACAATATTGCAGCTTACTCCTCCAAGCAAGTACCCCCTACTGACAGGGAGGTCAACTTCCATGCCCTTTTACTGCATTTACTGACTCATCATACAGGGTGTGGTGGAATCGCAGCTGCAAACACTACCTGCTGTCTCAGAGACTAAACTGGGCATGTCATTATCTAATAAAAATCTAAAGGTAAGACGTAACAGCTGATCCAGATGGGAAGGAATCAGTGAAAGAATTCTGGAAATATGAAGGATCAGACTGAAAGCACACCCTCAAAGGGGAGCACCACCTCTCTAGCAATGGACATCAACCAAATTTAGAACACTAAAATGACAGAAGCAGAATTTTGAACATGGATTTTAAGAAAAATCAATGATATGCAAGAGAAAATGGATACTCAACACAAAGA